GTACTGTCTGGTGCTACAGGGAGTGTCTCTGGTGTGTGCTGCATGCACTCTGCTGTTGTGCTTTGGCTGTTCTTTCCTTCAGGCCAGTCTGTAGAGGTTTTCCTTGCCTGCCATGAGTAGTGTTTGGTTCTGGCCTGAATGTGGTGAGTTTTAATTAGGTGTTCTCCGATCTGCTTGTGAAATGAGTCCTGTCACCACCCTGACAGGAAGTGAGGCCCTGCAAACTCTCTGGTCAGGAGACATGGTGTGGGCTGGTGTTTGTGCTGGTCTTCTTGGGAAGAATACAGGTGGTGGGCCTTGGTGTAAGCAAGTTAGACAGCTAGTATTGATGCTATGTTGCTTCCCACAGGTGGCTCTGTGTTTATACTGAGGGGTAGGGGAAGAAGATGGTGCTGGCCAGCTCCTTTGTTCCTGGAGAGGTGTCTCCCTGAACATTGACTCTCAGGGACACACTCTGAGAAGACCAAATTATCTCCCCACTCGGTGCCCCAGGCTTTTTTCAGATAGCTGTTTCCATGCTGTCTGCCCCAGAATTGTTTGCCTGTTTTCTCTCCAGGAACAATGCAGTGCCCTCCAGACTCTATCCCAGCCAAACCCACTGACCTTTAAAGCTCCAGGCTTTAAGCTCCGGTGATTGTTAGAACTCACAAAATTCAGCCCCTCTCATTTTCCAAGTCAATGGTTTTAGGGAAATATTCTTGTGAATTCTCTACATGCTCCTCTCTCTCTCACTCTTCTTCCTCCCTTCCACAGCAGCTGTGGTCCAATTTCCCCTTAACCACACTTCCCACCTTCTTTGATGTGGCCTCTTCTCTCCCTTTAGTTGTGAATTCTGTTCTGTCAGACTTTAGGTCAATGTCTGGGGTATTTAGGTTGATTTGATAGTTATTGTATTCATAGGACAAAGCAAGCCTAGGATTCTCCTACTCTGCCACCATCTTCCTGCTCCTTAGAGTTCAAAATAGTGAAATATCTTTTCAAAAATGTTCCCATTTTGAATGGAGTTTTTGTTTTCATATTATTGAATCGAGAATTCTTTGTGTATTCTGGATACAGAGGTGAAAGCTTGGCTACTATGGTCAGAACAGGCCCCTCTGAGGAAATGATGTTTGGACTGATACTTGAATGATAAATAGGAATGAGCCATATTAAGGAAATTTCAGAACAGATTGAACCACAAATGTAAATAGCTTGAAACAGGAATAATCTCAGTGTGTTTGAGAAGTAGGAAGGAGGCTGCATAGGTATAGCATACTGAACATTATGGATAAGAGTAGGAAATGAATTTGGAGAGATGAACAAAAATCAGAGATATTATGTCATGTCTTGCAATTCATAGTAAGGAGTTTTTATTTCATTGTAATTGTAATGGAAAGCTGTTCCAGGGGTGTAGCATTGTCTACTTTATGTTTTAAAAGATTTCATTTGTGTTTATGTGGGGCATGTGTTACAGGAGGGACCATTTAGGTATCTATTATGGTTGTACAGGTGACAGAAGATGATGGTATAGATTAGGGTAGTAGCTGTGGAGACAAATAGAAGTGGATGGATGGGGATATATTTCTTAGGTAGATCCCTCAGAACATGCAGATGGATATGAGATATGGGAGAAAGAATAAAAAATAGCTCCTGATTTTTTTTCCTGAACAACTGGTTTCACTACTGAGATAGGAGGAGTAGATTTGAGAGAGAAGTCAAAGATGTATTTTTAATATGTTGAGTTTGAGATAAAAATTAAACAACTTTAAGTGTCAAGTAGACAGTTGAATAAAGGAGTTTAAAACTCAGTGGAGAGGTTGGAGGATGGTTTAGGTAAAGAGAATAACATCATCAAAGCACAAAGCTGTGAAAGTATGGGATATGCTCAGAGGTGAATAATTAAGTTTGGCCAGTGTCCTTTTTACAGAAGTAGGAAGAGTAAGAAATAGACTAAAAGATAAGCCAGGGCTGAGTTAGAAAGGGCTTAGATGTTTGGATGAAGTGTTTGGACTTCATTCTTTGGGTATAAGGGAGCCATTAAAATTTTGAAGAGAAGAGTGACTTGAAAAAGAGAGGTTTGGAAAAAATTGATATCACATAGCAAAAACAATCTTCAAAAAGAGTAACAAAGTTGGAGAAGTTACACTTACCAATTTCAAAACTTACTATAAAGCACAATAATCAAGACTTTTGGTAATGGCATAAAGATATATAGATTAATGGAATAGGACTGAGAGTACAGAAATAATCCCTTATATTTATGGTCAATTAATTTTTAACAAGGGTTCCAAGACTATTTAATGGAGAAATAATAGTTTTTTCAACAAATGGTGCTGAGACATAGTAGATATCAACATGCAAAACAATGGAATTGGACTCCCTACCTCTCACCATATAGAAAAACTAACTCAAAATGGATCAAACACCTAAATGTAAGAGCTAAAGCTACAAAACTTTTAAAAGAAAACATAAAAATTTGTGACCTTGAGTTAGAAAATGATTCTTAGATACAACACTAAAAGCACACGTGACTAAATAATAAATAAATAAACTGGACTTCCTCAAAAGTTTTTGTGCTTCACAGTATACCATCGAGAAAGTGAAAAGTGGTAGCTACTTCTGGGTGGAATGGAGCAGCAATGGTTCCTTTTGAGTAAGGGAGCCATAGAAGAGCTGGCTACTTTTGAGGGCTCAGCAACAGCAGCTCCTTGTGTTGAGGATAAGTGCAGTAGTGGCTTCTACTTTGGGAGAACAGTGAAGTGGTGGCTCCTTGTGGGGGGACGGAACATAAGTGGCTCCTTCTTGGGGGGATTGAGGTTGTTGGTGTCTCCTTATGGGGGGACAGAATGTCTGTGGCTCTTTGGGTGGGGAGTTAAAGCAGCTTCTTCTTGGTGGGTATGTGGAGCACTAATAGATCCTCCTGGGGTAGCGCAGAGAAACAATGGCTCCTTCTGGAAAATGCAACATTGAAGGTTCTTTCCTCAGAGGGAATAAGCAGAAGGGCAGCACTTTTTTCTGGGTGTGGAGCATGGAGTGGTAGCAGCGTCTTCTTGGGAAGATGCCGTGGTGGTATCTCCTTCTAAGGGAGTATAGCAGTAGCAACTTCTTCTCTGAGGAAATACAGCAGCAATGACTCCTTGTGGAGCTGGAAGCAAATAACCTGTGACTCACTGGGGGAGGGAAGATGGGCAGTGGCTCCTTAGGGGCTCCCCCTTGGGGCACAAGATAAGCTTTGAGGGGACATATAAGCTATAACTTCTTGGGTTGGGGCAGAGTGGTCACGATTCTTGCTTGAAAAAGTGGCAGAGGGTCATGGACTCCAGGCAGCTCAGTCAGCTGGGGCCAGTGCCAAGAAATACTCCCTGGCTGTGGTGGTGAGGGCTGCTGGGGTCCACCTTCTTTTCATTTCTCCCATGAGTGCTCTCCCTTGGTACCAGCTACACCAGACAGGGATGATGTAGGTAAGATACTTCCTACACTTTTTTTATATGGCCATGTTCAGGTTTTTGCCCTGCTGGGTTGTTACAATTTCTTCATTATATTTTGAAGCTTTCAGAGCTATTTTTGTGGGTATATAGTTGTTTATTCTTTATTTTCCTTATTTTTGTTGTTATTGTGGGAAGAAATTAGCATTAAGACCTCCTTAGTCTATCAATTTGCTGACATCCATCCTGTATAATTGAATTTGTATAAAATACTCAAAATGGGCAAATCTATAGAGACATAAAGTGGGTTAGTGGTTGTCCAGGGCTTGGGTGAGTGGGTGATTAGAGAATGATGGCTAAAGAGTGAAGATTTTTTTTTTTTTTAGTGGTAATGATCTTTTAAAAATTGATTGTGGTGATGTTACAAAATCCTGCGAATATACTAAAAACCTTTAAATGGGTGAGTTGTATGATATGCAAATTATATCTCAATAAAACTGTTATAAAAAGGGCACCTGGGTGGCTCAGTCGTTAAGCGTCTGCCTTCGGCTCAGGTCATGATCCCAGGGTCTTGGGATCGAGTCCCACATCGGGTTCCCTCCTCGGCGGGAAGCCTGCTCTCCCTCTCCCACTCCCGCTGCTTGTGTTCCTGCTCTCACTATCTCTGTCTGGGTCAAATAAATAAATAAAATCTTTAAAAAAAACTGTTATAAAAATTAATATGGCATCAGTTAGAAGACGGATTGGAGAGGACAAAACTTGGAGGCAGAGAAACATGTTAGGGGGGTTTGTACTAGTCCATTTGAGAAAATAAGGGTCTATACTATGGCAGTAGTATTGGGAATTGGAAGGAGGATAGCATAGCAATACAATGTATTGTAGAGGTATTATCAATAGAACTTACTGTTTGGTTGCATATGGAGTGTGTAAAGGTGGGAAGACAAAGAAAACTAAGGTTTTGAGTCTGGGTAAGGAAAAGAGTTTTGATGTCATTACTAGATACTGGGAACACAGATTAAATTAACAGGTTATGTTTTCAAAGGAGGGAGGTGAATTCAGAACAATTTTAGTTTTTGATGTGTTGTCAGGACAATCTTCAAAAGATGCCCAGTATCTAATTTAAAAAATTCAGATTGGAGCTTAATGGCAAGGGAGGTCTGGTTAGTATTTATGAGTCACCAATACATAGATCATAATTGATCTTCCATAGAGAGAGTATGGAGAGAGGAAGAAGGGGACTAGAGACAGAGCCTTGGGGAAACAGCTGAATATAGGAAGCAGCAGCAAGAAAAGGAGAACAAAGCAGAGCCAAAACAGGAAGGAGGGAGGACATTATAAGCAGAGAGAACAGTATCAGAACTGCTTTACCAGAGGATTGGACCTGGGCTTTTAAAGATAGGGATAGTAGAAGAGAGGCTGGAGGTGTCTCAGGAGGGAGAAAAGCAAAGTCACAAAAATAAAATGGAGACTGGTATGGAAATAATGGAAAAAGATCTTAAAGGTCTTAAGACTCACCCGTCACAGCATTTTGGGGCACCTGAGAGTTGGGAAAAAAATTGACATGGCCCAACTGGTAATCCCTATTACCCTTCCTAGGTGAGGTTCTCACTTACCAATGGAACATCCCAGAAAGATCTGGCCCAGGGCCCAATGATTCTGCTTGTGTTTCCTGGATCTATTATTCTGCAGTGGATCCCATCAAGGTAAAGACAATATTGGTTTCCTGGAGGTGAGTCCCATAAATGGACAGAGCCCAGCCCTGAAATACTGGAGCCCAGAGTTTGGGGGAAATTCCTCAAATATGGGGTTTATTTTCATAGACAGAAGGAGGAATGAAGGGAATAGGTAGCTACACCACATATTTATCCCTAAGGGTTTTCTTCTTTGTTTCTTTGTCTTGGATCCTATAAGTCAATATGCTCTCATTTAAAAAGCCCAGGATTGGTTGTCAAGAAATTCGAGTTTTAGACCCAAATTTGGTTCACTCTTGTCTTTGGAGTGACTTTAGATGAGTCATTATCTCCCTGTTTCCTCATCTGGAAAATGAGTTTATCTATCTAGGCAACCATTCAGTCAGCTGTCAGCAATCATTTATTGAAAGACTACTACATTTTAGGCATTTTACTTGGTGCTTTGGATGATAAAAATGTAAAGATATATATATATAAAGCTCCTTGAAAACCATATGATAGAAAGTGCTATGGGGGGTGGGGTCCATGAGAGAGTGATTACTTCTGCTTGGAGGAGATGATTAAAGGGAACCTGGAGAAGGCACCACAATGGAAGGTGCATGTACTTTAAACCCTGAAATCTAAATAGCACTATGCCATAAGATAAGGTATATGGCAGAGGAGAAGGCATTACAGGAAGAAAAAAAAAGCATGAGGAAAAGTACTGGGTAGTGAAAGTGCCTTTGGGTTTGGTGATCAACGGATAGGCCAGCCTAGCTAAAGTAATAGGTTGGATAGTACATCTAACCTGTGTCCCAAGATGGTTATGAGAATGAATTCAGATAACATAGTGGAGGTAAATATATACCTTATAAATGTAAGACATTATGATAAAGTGCTGAACACAGTAGACTTGGATGTCAGCCTTGCACCCTGTAGAGCACTGCTACCCAGGAACGACTCCATTTTTTTTTACGGTATTCTCCTTTTTCCCATTCTCAGGACATGTATAGTGGCCTGATTGGACCCTTGACCATCTGCCGAAAGGGCACCCTGGAGCCCTATGGAGGACGTAATGACATGGACCGAGAATTTGCCTTGTTATTCTTGATCTTTGATGAGAACCAGTCTTGGTATCTGGAGGAGAATGTAGCAGCCCATGGGCCCCAGGAGCCAGGCCATGTTAACCTACAGGATGAGACTTTTCTGGAGAGCAATAAAATGCATGGTCTGTAGAAAAGAACCTATCCCTCTTCCAAAGAACTCCCCACTAGTTGCATGGGGGTATATGAGAGGCCCATCACTACCTAAG